TTGCACGAAGGAACACCTGGATAGAAACGCTTGACTGGATAGGATTTAACATATATGACAGAATACCTGAAATATGGTGGTGGGGTGGGGTTGCTAAAGACAAGTCTGGGAACTGTGCTTGCAGACCAGTCCCCATGCCAGTTCCTACCAGGTGCAGAGGCCTGCCCAGCCAAGGAAGCCATGACCTGGTTGGAGGCAATCCACAGCTATGTATCTCTGCATGGAAAGCCTCTTCAAAGAAAGGCACAGCCATCCTAAGCTAAGGGGAACCCTATGAAAAAATTTCCACAAAGTCTTTAGGTAAAATCAGTCAGTTCGGTATGTTGGCACGTCTACCATCCCAGGACTTGGAAGGCTGAGACAGGCAGATTGCCAGTTCAAGGCCAGTGTGAAGTACACAGTGTGACCATTCTGTTTTCCCGAAATCAAACTGAACCTGTAGAAACACCAGGCAGACTTTAATCAACTCAGCTTCTCAATCTTAAAAGAATGAAATGACGAACCTCAAAATATCTGTAAGGAACAAGAAATTATGTAGTGTACCAGTCTTGAAAAACAATCAAAACCTTCTAGAAACAAACTAGAAGAACCCAAATTACGAACCAGTGGGTGGATCCCTGGAACTCGCTGGCTAGCCAGCTTAGCCTAATCGGTGAGAGACCTTGTCTCACTTAAAAAAAATAAGGTGAGCCAGGCATGGAGGCACCTGACTTTAATCCTGGCAGAGGCAGAGACAGAGGACAGAGGGCAGAGGGTAGAGGGCGAGGCAGAGGCAAGCGTGGTCTACATAGCAAATTCCAGGCCAGCTGGGGTTACAGGGAGACTCAGCCTCAAAAAGTCCAAAGACAAAGGCTTATGAGGGGAGATACAGCTACAAGGTGGAAAGGCTGGGCACTGCTTGTTCAGTAAGGTTTACAGGTAGGGCTTGGATCAGCACCAGTCTGGATGGCAGATATTCGGCTCTATACAATGAAAGCAGAGTGACCCAATGTTTCAATAAAACTGCAGAACAGGTGGCAGGCCAGACTTGGCTGGTGAGATGTAGACGGCCAATTCCTGGGTCCAGAGTGCTCTGTATATATGGTGTGCCATTTCACAGGGCTGAGGGAGAAGACATGAATATGTATGTGCTTCTGTTTGCATGGTGTCAAGGATACAGCAAGAATCAGCCCACAGAGGTTATCATCTGATCCCTTCACGGAGAGCTTGTTCACTTCTTCCTTAGACCCTCATATAGCTGTCTCAAGGGAAGACAACTAGGTAACTGTGGGTCACAGAAGATATCCCCATTCTTTACCTGTGTGTACATGTGAATGTGTTACCTGGGCAAAAACGAAAATCCATGTATTTTTTTTAAAACAACTAGATTAGAATTCAGAAGTCTTTGAAAGCTTTTCAGGAAAAGAAAACATCTTTATTTTTAGGACATTGTCTCACTATGTGGCACTGACCAGCCTGGAACTCACAGTGTAGGACAGTCTGGCCTTGAACATCTGGTGATTCTCCTGCTTCTGACTCCTGAGTGCCGATATGACAGGTGTGTCCCACCATACCTGCCTTTGGAGGAAAATTATCCTAATTTTTAAGAAAGCATAATTTTGCCACTACCCCCATCACCCCTGCCCCTCCAACTGTTTCTATAAAGTAAATATTGCCCCACCATATGGGGGGGAGGGGAGAGGGGGAGAGGAGGGGGGGTAGAGAAAGAGAGAGGGAGGGAGAGAACGAGAACTACATGATTTGAAAAGTACATGTAGAGGGTAAGATGGCTCTGTGGGTAAAAGCGCTTGTCACACAAGCCTGGTGTCCTGAATTGGATCTTTGGAACCCAAATAAGGTGGAAAGAGAGAACAGACTCCACAAAGTTGTCCTCTGACCCCCAAACACATGCTGTGGCATGTGCATCCTCCTCCCAAATTAATAAAATTTAAAAGCAAAATAATAAAAACCAAAAAATAAGTTTAGTCCTTTTTGAGGCAGGGTCTCCCTGTAGCCCCAGCTGGCCTGGAACGCACCAAGTTGGCCTTGAACTCAGAGATCCGCCTGCCTCTGCCTCCCTAGTACTGGGATTAAAGGTGTGCACCACCATGCCTAGAGAAGAATAAAAATAAAAAATTTCAAAAGCAGGAACACGTGATCTCTGTGAGTTGAAGGCTGCCTGGTTTATATAGCAAGTTTCAGGCTAGCCAACGCTATATAGTGAAACTCTGTCTCAAAAAAATAAAATAGAAAAATACATGAGCTAAAGAACCGTCATACAGGAAGCGGGGGAAAGGTGTGGATGAAACATGGGTATAAACTAGAAGCCTGTGAGTGCAGGAAGAAGAAAAATTGATTAAATTTGTTTCAAGTTTTATAAATTCACTTATTTCCCTATTTTCTTTGAATACCATTGCTAGTAATTAGCATTCATGGAGGGCTTCCATAATAATCTAACACTTGCTGAATCACATAATCCTGTTCAGTTATGAACTTATCACTCCACTTTGTAGATGAAGAAACAGCTGACATAACCTCCAGCCCTCAGAAGGTGTTGAACTGGGAGTGAGGAGATCAGTGCAGAGGCAGTTATACCCTCTGTTCCTCACTTTGACATAATTTTAGATGTACAGACAACTTTCAAAGATCAAACGAGCTCCTGCACCCTTCCTCCCTCTCCCCTAAACTTTGGTGAACAAAGGCTGCCTTAAAAGTCTGTAGACCAACTTGGAACTGAACCTGGGTGCTGGATTCTCTGCTCTTAACTACTGAGCCCTCTCTCTGGCCCACGAGCTTCGTTTTTCACAAAATAAATTTTTATATACATAAGTATTTTACCTGCATGCATGTAAGTGCACCAAGTGCATGTAATGCCCACAGAGGCCAGAAAGCATAAGATTCCCTGGAACTAGAGTTATGGATGGTAGTTAGCTGCCATGCGGGTGCTGGGAATCAAATCCAGGTCCTCTGCAAGAGCAGCCAGTGCTCTTAATCCTGAGTCATCTCTCCAGTCCCTCGCCATCTTGGAGCTTCTAAGAAATGCAGTGTCTCAGGCCTGCCTCTAAGCAGGAACTCATCTGATGCAAGATTCTGAGAAGCTATTAGCCCATTAGTTGTGGCTCCTTCTGAGGAAAATGGACACAGATGAAACATAATTTATATCCACATCATTTAAGTTTCTCGGGCTTTTAAATTTTAAAAAATAAACAATCCCCAGCACTCGTGAAAAGCTGGGCATGGTGATGCACATTTGTAATCTCAGCTCTGGGGTGGGACAGGCAAATCCCTGAAGTTCACCGATCGGTTAGCCTAGCCTAATTGGCAAGGCGCCCAGGTCCCAGTGAGATCTTGTCTGAAAAAAATAAGGTGGACAGCTTCTGAGGAAGGACACTCAAGGTTGTCCCCTGACCCCCACACTCCTGGCACCTGTACAGACACACACAGAAAGTGTCTTAGAAAATGTTTTTAAAAATGATTTACAACATAGCCCAAACATTAAAAAGCCGTGCCCTGTATCCAAATGTACATTCCCAACATTGCTGAGTATCTTCACCTCCCCACCTAAGGATGAGGTCCTGCTCCCTCCCAACATAAGCTCCAGTGGATGCCATTCCTTTAGATGAGCATCTCACTGATAAACTCTTTCTCCTCCCGCCGGCTCAAACCCAGACCCTAGGCATCAGCATCCCCCACCCCACCCACTGCCCTAGTATCTATCCTGCCCTCAGTGAGAACTACAAAACTTTATTTTGGACACATGGCACAGCTTCCTATGCCAACATCTGCCTGAATCACCCTGCTATTGCTATGTAATAAAACACCCCAAACACAGTGGTTAAAACAATACCGACCTGTTGCTTCCAAGTCTTTGACCAGCTGGGCAACTCCTCTGGTCTGTGCCATATCAGATGAGGTTGGGTAGTTTAGGACAGCCTTACTCCCATATCTGGAGTCTAGTGTCACCTCCTTCAGTGGACACACCCAAAGGAATGGCTAGAGGGAGCAGTGATTCCACGGAGGTCCTTAGTAGAATTGGCCACAGCCCCTGAGCCTTTCACCTTCACTTAGAGCCAAATTACATGCTATGCCTTCCACTCTCTAAATCTTATCTTTTCCCCTGCTCACCTTCCAGAAGACTGCTCCAGCTCCTATACCCATACTCTGCCCCTGGCACTTTAGTCTAGGAAGCATCAATCCTGGACAGATTCAACTGATCAAGGGTATAAGCCTCCACTAGACCCCTGAAGTACCCCCAAAGGGTCAAATAGCTGGACCCTTGTAATGGGTCCCCCCCATCTCCAATGGGCTCTCCCTCAAGATAGTCCGAGTAAGACAAATCAGGGACAAGAAAGAACACTGGATGAAGGGACCCTGGCCAGTTCATCAGCATAGCCAGAGACCTACAACATGCTCCTCATTTCCAGGCTTGGCCCCAAGGGCCAGGGTCCTTCTCTCCAAGAATCTGCATTTCAACCAGCAGCAGACAACAGTGCTTTAGTCTTGGTGTGCATCCTTGGAAACAAAGACAGTTCAGACCCTTTTGCCCATGGTATTTGGTCAGAGCAATGAGAAAAGTACTAAAGGCGCAGGAAGGACACAGGTGCAGCTCAGTGGCAGAATCTACCAGAGCACTGGGCTCAAGACACATGGGCTACAGGAGGTAGGGTGGGAAGAGCACATTGACTCTCGTGCCAAGAGCACCAGGCTCAAGGAGCAGGACTGGCTGTGCCCCCCCAGAGGGAAGCCTGAGTGATGAACTTAAGCTAGCTCAGCTTAAGACAGAAGCTCCTTAGAGGATAGGAGAGGCAACCATGCCAGGACCAAGCAAGGTTCTAATGCACTAAAAGAAAGCCATTCCAACAGTCTCTCTGAATTTGTCTCTATCTAACCTAACTAGGGAGCTTTGCAGAGATGCCTACTATACAAAGCTATACCCCAAGGATGACAGCCCACATGCCAGGAGATAGCTACCAGGGCACTTCAAGCAGGGCCCAGAAGAAACGTAGAGTCCAGGGTTGCATAGGGAGAAAGGTATTTTATTCAATAAAGAGAGTAACAACTGGGGCTAAGAAATGGGAGCCCCCTGGACATGTCCCCTGTCCTATGCAGTGGTCAGAGATGAGGCCAGGCCTGACAAGAGCCTGGGAGAAGCTTGCAGAGCTCTATATTGCTTTGGGGATGGGACAGGCAGGCCCAGGAGTGGGACTTTGATCTGTTAGCACCAGGAACCTTCTGCAGCTAGACTTGGGGACAGTGTGGCCCTTCTGCTGCCACCTGAGCAGACTGAGGAGGGGGCTGGCAGCAGAGGCTTCCTGTAGGTGGTCACTGTCAACTCAGACCCCACCCTGCCTTGCACCCTAGCCCCTGTAAACATAAGAACAGGCTTGTGGCCTCAGAGCCCCTCAGGACAGAATGAGGGTTCGAGATGTGTGGCTGGGCTTCAGGCGGCCCAGGAGCTGCCGGGCTTTCTCCTGCATGAAGAGCTGGTCCTTGGTGCCCCCGCAGGCCACCATCTTCCAGGCGTTGGTCATCTGGGAGGAGGTAAGAGGATTAACATCCACAGGACCAGATGCTCCCTACAAACCCTGGTGGTCCTGGCCAGAAAGGGTGAGGGATACTTCTAGGACCCTCTCTCTAGAAGCTGGAAGCCAGCTGTGCTCCCTCCATTCTCTTGGGTGACCTCGGGGAAGTCAAACCCCACCTGTAGGCTTTCTCAAAGCAGGAGGCCAGAATTGGAGAAGGGGCGCGGCACCTGTTGGTCTCATGAGAAGCCAGTCAAGCAGACAGATGAGGACATGGAGATGTGGGAGGCCCAGGGCCAGCTCTGCCCTCAGGGACAGACTGTGCACTAAGCAAACCAAACACAGATAATGACTTTGTGACAGGCAAGCTCAGGCCACAGAAAGGGATCTGGGCTAGGGCTTCTCTCCAGAACTCAGAAACGGCTTCCATGAGGAAGCAGCAGAGGAGCAGTCAGGGTTTGTGTAGGACCTAGGGTGACAAGAGCAGCAGGACCCTGGGGACAGCCAATACTCACAGGGGCAGGGGCTGGAATGTGGCTCCGGGACTTCTGGGACGCCGTCGCCTTCTCCGGTTTGGCCTGCAGGAAGCCCTGGTTGAGCAAGCTGTTATCCTCTTTCATACCTGGCAGGGTGAGGCTGGAGGAGCTGGATGGGACATTGGTTGGCTGAAATCAAAACCAAGTTAATCAGCACTTCAACGTAAGATCTCGGCAAGGAGAAAACAAAACAAAAAAGAGCACCCTGTATCCTAGCACCACCATCTCCCTGCTGTTGAGATTTGGAGTGGGATATGAACTTCTCTAGGCCTCTCTAAACCCCTCTTTCCTCTTTCAGAAATGGAGTTTAAATGAGCTCCTTTCATCTTTTCACTTAAAGAACTTAAGAAATATTTGTGAACTGCCCATTTCTCATATACTCTGTAATGCTAATGCTTGTCTCAGGCTCCACATGGTGCTATCAGACCTCCAGGACCAGAAACAGCCATAACCATCAAGAGGAAATATGGCATAGACTACACACCACCTCCAGCTTCTCAGTGGATTGCCTTTCTGCTGCTCTACCTGGACCTGAGGCTGTAGGGCCTAGGAAGCCAAGATTATAGGCTAATTATTTTACATGCAAGTCTCCATTAGAGCCCAGGCCTAGCATGAATGAGGCTCAACCTCCAGCAGTTGAAGAAGAAAAAAATATGTGCCTGAGGTAAAGGCAGCCAAAGGTCTGACTGAAGGAAGCTAATTCCCCAGCGGGGCAGAGTTCCCTAGACACAGGTTTCTCTATAAGGACAGCAGCCTCACCTGTAGGGCCAGGTGTAACAACACATAACCTTTGTTCATTCTTCCACCCCCTGCTCAAAGCCTCTCTAATGGTGCCAGGGCAAGCCAGCCCTCCACCCCATCAGCTGCAAGGGACCACCTTGTGACACCTAGGCTCTGTGAAGGTGGTGACGTCCATACCCAGTAGAGCAAGGCTGGCCTACAGGCCAGAGAGCAGCTACCCAGGGTTTATGTGCCCCAACCACCTGTCTGCTTTGTTGGCACATAGGTGACAATTGGTGAGGACATATTATTGCATGGTGTTCTAGCAATATAGCACCTACCAAATAAAGGCCCAAAACGACACAGCAAAGCTGCTTAATGAGGCCCAGCCTAGGAGCCCAGACCTGCCATCCCTTCCCCAACACTGGGCCTAGTCTTTCCAAAGCCCAGCCTGAAAACCAGAGACCACTTCCTCTCCATGACTAGACAGCTCCAAAAGCAGAAGGCTTCTGGGAGACAACATGGGGCAGTGGTCACTGTCAGCCCCTTACCAAGGAGAGAGCCTTGGGCAGTGTAGACATCATCAGCTTCCCATCTTCATCAACGATGTCAAGAGCCAGAGATTTCCTGACTTTCTTGATAGGGCTCCGTCGCAGCTGGGAGTTGGGGAGGAAAGGATGGTTAGGGTGGATGTGAGGGGTTCCTGTGGCCAGTAACTTGATCACTGTCACAGATTGTCAGAGAATCAGGCCTCACCACAGTATAGCCTTTGAGGCCTCAGTGGCAGGACTTGCTCTAGGGATATGAAGGCCAAGGGCCACATTAAACCCTGCCCCAGGAGGACCTTGCCCTGCCAGGCACTACAGCAGCAAGCAGGACACAATATGAACATCAGGCTACCAGAATACCCCCTCCTCACCCATGAATGGAGCAGACACAACCCCAAGTCTCCATCACATGATGTCTGTCCCTAAAACATTCCTGGCAAAGAATCATCCAAGTGACTCCTAAAACTCAACCAGAGCAACAGTATGAAAATGTGAAGTCTGCTGGACATGACCTACAGATACCTCCTGGCAAGGAATCGGACCAAGTTACCCTAGGGATAAGAGCACAATTCTATTTAAGAGTCCATGTCCACAATAGGGTTTACTTTGTATCTCTTGGAAGCAGGTCAAGAGTCTGTCTGCTCTAATGAAGGGGAGGGTCTCAAATCCAGACCATTACTGTGCCCTGAATAGGTGCTACAGCAGCTAAACAGAATCCAGAGAAGCCACAGAGGCTCTGAGCCAAGTTCCCTCTACTACATACACATGGGAAGGGCCCCAGTTCAGAGGGTCCCTTCCAGCCTCCCTGCCTAGCTTCTCCTACTGTCTCTCCCTAGTGATTGCAGTCTGAGAAAGGAGCACAAAGACAAGGGGAGAGTCAAGGAGCTGCCTGCAGCTGAAGTACTAAAGACAGGATAGTGGGAAGGAAGCAGACCCTGGAGTCCGCCCTGTACCAGCTGTCTCTTCGCGCCAGGTGTCCCTGTGAATTCCATCTCTTCAGATAAACAACCCCTGCTCCCACGGCTAAGGCACCCACTCTGGCACTCTCTTGCCTGGCCCACTCCTCCAAACTGATGTCCATCTGAAGAGGACCCTTAGAATCCGTGTCCCTCCTACTACCCTTTATCCCACATGAATCCAGGTGGTCATGAGGTGTGTGTTACATGCCTGTCTCCATTCACTAAACCCTGTGAAGGAGAGCCTTTGTCCTAATCAACCTATTGTTAACCTATTGTTCCACTTTAAAAGGGACCAATACAATGCTGGATAAGTGCATCATTCAAAAAGGAGCGGAGAAGCCTAGGCCCTCCTCTGTAAGCTACACTGTCAGCGATTCACTGGTTCCCCCTGCTCTCAGGTCACAACACCCCTCATGGCTCCAACTCTTCCTAAGTTGCCTAGGCTGGCAGGCAGCAGGAGCTCCCTAGGCCCACAGCCACTCACCCCAGGCTTCCTTTTCTGCTTCTCAGGCCTCACATCATCTTCAATGATGAGCTCGATGCCAGCCTCAGAGCGCAGTACCTCCTTCAAGTCTTCCTCCAGGTGTGGGGTCTGGGGCTGAGGGCAGAAGTATGTGAAGTCAACATGAGGTGCACTTGGGTTATGTGGGTGTGAGGCAGGTAGGCAGTACTGAGCAAGCCAGGAAGGGGCCTGAGCCAGGACACTGACCTCACACATATCATTCACAACCATCAACTGTCCTGCCTTGGACAAGTGGATAAAGACCTTAACCCTGAGGCCTGCAACCTTACACACCCACAAAGTACTGTGCAACAACTGCCATGTTCACATGCCTTCCCAGGCCAAAGCTGTTATTAGAATCCAGATTCTTGAGCTTGGCATGCCCTGAAGCCCCAGCTCCTCAGTGGGCTGAGGCAGAAGTCACTTCCCAGAATTTGAGAAAGCTTTTATCTATAATCCCAACACTTGGGAAGCTGAGGCAGGAGGAATCAGCCTGGGCAAGTTCCAGGCTAGCCTAGCCTTCAAAGCCAAACACTATCTCAAAAAACAAAGAACCTGGAGCCACTGAGAGCCCAGGATCATTCAGTCCTTCATCCATACTAACAGAGGCACTTGGGGTCCATTTCCATCGCTCAGGCCCAGGAGCTCCAAGCAATCTCTCTAGCCTCAGGTGACCAAGACTAAGGAAGGGAGGAGGCTCCTGAGAATAAAGGGCACAGTGACACTTCAGAAATTGTACAAAACAGCTCCCACATAGAACCCATAGCAGCATTTTAGTCCAATAGAGAGCGCCTCTATTCCAACAGGAAAGGCAGCACCTAACTAGCACTCACAACTGTCATGTGCAATCCTGAGAAACCCCACTTAACTCAGTCTACAAGATGACATCACCTCTGCAACCCCCTCCCTCCCTCCCTCCCTCCCTCCCTAGTTCAAGGTCTATGTAGTACAGGCTGGCATCAAAGTCACAATCCCGCTGCTTTAGCATCCCAAGTGCTGAGATTACTGGCACAAACCATCACATCTGGCTTCTAGCCCTTTTCCTTTTTTGAAACAGGGTCTCATACAGCCCAGGCTGGCCTCAAACTTGCTATGTAGCTAAGGATAATCTTGAACTCTTTTTTGGGAGTTTTTGTTTTGTTTTTTTTTTAATTAGAAGAAGCACTTCATTACAACAGCATTGACATATACAGTAACAATATCCAGAGCAATGATGCATCTCTTTCAAAACTGGCTGTAAATTTTTAGGTTTATAGTTGAATTAATAGTTATATAACACAACTCAGTATAAATCCTACAAAACATGAAACTGAAATGTTTTAACCTTTAAAAAAGATCTCCATTTCATTTTAAAATATACTGTTTCATAGAGAAAAACTCATTTTTCACACAACTAACACTTAGATGTTTGCACATGAGTCTCTATCTTTATATATCTGATTGTTACTAGTCATAGTGGGTTACTTTCTGAGATCCTTGGCACCTGAGCATGGATATAAAGTCGTCAGGTAGATATGAATGGTAACGTTTTTCACATTTACTAATTAACATGAAGCAAATTTTTATGCCTCTTCCTCAAATATAACTCATTATTTAATTGAGTTTTTTGTGTGTATTTCATATAGAACATTTCAATCTTTTTCATCTATACACCCACATCCCAAGTGGCACCCTCCCATAGCCTCCTCACTGGAGTCCATATACTCTGTCATCCCTGTTACTGTCCAGTGTTGTCAGGGCCCATAGCCATTCCCCAGTGCTTGTCCATTCACTGACTCTAGTCAACCTACCTGCAGTTCCTTTTTTCAGGAAGATCAGCTGTTCATCTAGCAGCAAGCTACCGCCAATATTCCTTTAGGTAAGATTGGGGCCTGCTGTTCATTTTCCCAGTTCTATGCTGGGTTGCTGTCTGGGAGTCTCTTGGGCCACGCTGGCCAACAACTCAAAGGTTATCTTCTATCTAGCATTGCTTCCTGTTATGTAGCCTTTAGCTATACACATGGACTCAAAGAATTCTACTGATCCCTTTAACCTTTAGTTATACTTTCCTTATGTGTGTTTAAGACCATGCAGTTGGCGCAAATAAACCAATTTATTTTTAATCTTAGGATCATTTGAGGACCTATTCCTCAGGGGTCACATGGCCTTAGGAGGAGCCCTTGGCTTACCAGGAGCCCCTGGCTTACCAGTTCCATCTATGTGAATGTCAAAGGTCCTCCTTGATCATGGACAGCTTAATTTGGAAGCGTGGAGGAAATCTTTCCTCTGTATTGAACCTCCTCTTCATAGACTGGACACTATGTTCAAGTCCATCTCGTTACAGGACATTTTGAGAGATGCTGCATAGTCCCCTGGAACTTAGTTAACCTTTGAGGGCAAGGAGCATGTACTGTCCCTAAGTCCCTCTGACTAAATTAGTATAGGCCTCAAAGTATGCCTGTTACACATCCAAGAAGGTTAGTTCTACCAGCCTAGTACTTTTAATTATCATGTGTTATGTAGATAAAGCTTGGGCAAAGACCAAAGGTTCTCAGACAAACTTTGACTAGACATATATTATGTTCCTTGAGGTAGTTGTTATGTATAATTTGTCAGTAGGTTGTTAGACTAATATAGTTCCCCTTGTTTTTTTGTGTGTTTTTTGGTCTTTTTGAGACAGGGTCTCCCTGCAGCCCCAGCTGACCTGGATTCCCTATGGAGAAAAGGCTGGCCTCAAACTCAGAGATCCACCTGCCTCTGGCTCCCAAGGGCTGGTATTAAAGGCGTGTGCCACCACGCCCGGCGCCTTTTTTTTTTTAAAACTAGCCAGGCATTTACCTCTCCCATTCTCTAACCCTTCCACCATGGTTTCCCCATTTAAAGTACCCCCAGTTTTCCCTTAATAATACCCTTTTCATATGGTCCCACCTCTCTTGAGCTCCTTCTTTTCCTTTATCCCCGAGGTTTCTTGTATAACCCTCCCTCCCCCCTCCTCTTAACTGCAATTTTTATCTGCATCTCCCTTAATAACACCTGTTTCCTAGTGCTGTTCTCTTTCATATTCTTTCTTTTTCCTTTACCTCCCTGGTTCCTTTCCATCATTCTGGTTCCTGTAGTTATGTCTGGATACTCACTTATAAGGATTTGGTGCTAGGATCCACATATGAGGGAGAACATATGTCATTTGTTTTACTGAGTCTGTTACTTCACTTAGTAAACAGTTTCTAGTTCCATCCATTTACCTGCAAATTTCATGATTTCATCTTTCTTTACTGCTGAGTAAAACTCCATCGTGTAAATGAACAACATTTTCATTATCCACTCATCAGTTGAGGGACACTTAGGCTGTTTCCATCTCTTAGCTATTGTGAAAAGAGCAACAACAAACATGGATGTACAAGTGTCTGCAATAGGATGAGTTCTTTGGGTATATGCCAAAGAGTGGTATAACTGGGTCAAATGGTAGGTTCGTTTGTAGTTTTTTAAGAGTTCTCCACATTGCTTTCCACAGGTGTTGAAAAAGTTTGCAGCCCCACCAGCAGTGGATGAGTGTTCCCCTTTCCACACATCCTCTCCAACATTTGGTATCATTTGTTCTCTTGATCTTAGCCAGTCTGACTGGGGTAGGATGAAATCATAAAGTGGTTTTAATTTGCAATTCCCTAATTACTAGTGATGTTGAACACCTTTTAAGATGCTTCTTAGCCATCTTTATTTCATCTTTTGAGAACTCTCTGTTCAGCTCCTTGGCCCATCTTTTAATTGGGTTACTTCCTTTCTTGATCTTTTTTGAGTTCATTATATATTCTGGCAAAGACTTTCTCCCATTCTGTGGGTTTTCTCTTCACTTCCTTGGTTCCTTCTTTTGATGTACAGCTTTTTAGTTTAATGAGGTCCCATTTGTTGATTCTTGACCTTGTGTACTGAGCAATTGATGTCCAGTTTAGAAAATCCTTTCCTACACCTATACCTGGTTATATACCTAGGTTATTGCCAATGTTTTCTACCAGTTTCAGAGTTTCAGGCTTCACATTGAGGTCCTTGATCCATTTGGAGTTGACTTTTATGCAAGGTGAAAGATAGGGAAGAACCAGTCTGCCAGCACCATTTGCTGAACGTGCTCTTTCCTCCAGTGAATATTGGCCCCTTTGTCAACTATCAGGTGGCTGAAACTGTATGTACTCACATTTGGGTATTCAATTATGGTCCATTGATCTACGAGTCTATTTTTGTGCCAGTACCATGTTGTTTTTATGACTATAGTCCTGTAATACAGTTTAAAATCTGGTTTAGTAATCCCCTCAGCATTGCTGTTAGTACTCAGGATTGCTTTGGCTATCTGGGGTCTTTTGTGTTTCCATATGAATCTTAGGATGTTTTTTTCCAATTCTGTGAAGAATATCATGGGATTTTGATTGACACTGCATTGAATCTATAAATGGCTTTTGGTAGGATGGTCATTTTCACAATTCTTCCAATCCATGAGCATGGGGGCGGGGGGTGTCCTTCCATCTTCTGATGCCTTCCTCAATCTCTTTAAAGATTTAAATTTTTCATTATAGAGCTCTTTAATGTCTTTGGTCAGGTTTATTCCTAGGTTTTTTTTTTTTCCTTTTTTTTTTGTTTTGCAGCTATTGTGAAAGGGAGTGTTTCCATGAACTCTTTCTCTGATTGCTTGTTATTGATATACAGAAAGGCTATAGACTTTTGTACATTTTTTAACCTGCCACTTTACTGAAAGTGTTAATAATTTCTAGTAGTTTTCTGGTGGAATTTTCAGCATCTCTTAGATATAATACATTGTCTGCAAAAAGGGGTAATTTGATCTCTTCTTTTCCAATTATTACTCCTTTAATGTCCTTCTCTTGTCTTACTGCTCTTGTAAGAGTTTCAAGCGCTGTGTTAAAAAGGAGTGGAGATAGTGGACAGACAGCCTTGTCTGGTTCCTGATTTTAATGGGAATGCTTCCAGTTTTTCTCCATTTAAAATGATGTTGACTATGGGCTTGTTGTATATGGCTTTAATTATGTTGAAGTATGTTCCCTCCAGTCCAATTCCCTCTAGGACTGAACATAAATGCATACTGAGAGATGACCATGTGGTTCTTCTCTTTGAATCCATTTGTATGGTTTATGATGTTTATTGACTAACATATATTGGTTTTCTTGGTTTAGGTTTGGTGGTTCCCATGCTTTTAGATACCCATCCCTGTATCTATGGCATAAAGCCAACTTGATCATGGTGGATGATCTTTTCGATGTGTGCGGTTTGCAAATATTTTGTTGAGAATTTTTGCATCTATATGAAGGATTTGGGTCTATAGTTTTCTTTTTTGGTTGTGTCTTTATCGGGTTTGGGTATTAGAGTGATGCTGGCTTCACAGAAGGAACTTGGGAGTTCTCCATTTCTATCGTTTGGAATAATTTTAGTATTGGTTGGAGGTCTTTTTTAAATGTCTGGTAGAATTCTGCTGTAAATACATCTGGTCCTGGGCTTTTTTTAGTCAAGGGATCTTGTATTACTGTTTCAATTTCCCTGTGTGTTATGGGTCTGTTTAAGCTGTTGATCTTTTCTTGGTTTAGGTCTGGTGGTTCCCATGCTTTTAGATACCCATCCATCTCCTTTAGGTGTTCAAATTTAGTAGCATATAGGTTGTTAAAGTATTCCCTTATAATGTTCTGGATCTTTTTGGTGTCTCTTGTGATGCTTCGCCTTTCATCTCTGATTTTGTTGATTTGGAGGTGCTTTCTTTCCTTTGGTTAACTGGGCTAGCAGTCTATTAATCTTGTTTATTTTTTCTAAGAACCAGCTCTTGGATTTGTTGGTTCTTTGTATCGTTTTGTTTCTATTTCATTAATTTCTGCTCTGATTTTTGTTATTTCTTCCTCTCTGCTGGGTTTGGGTTTCATTTGTTGCTTTTCTAGTGTCCTGAGTTGCAATGTTAAATCATTCCTTTGTGTTATTAATGAAGGCACTTAGAGCTATAAACTTCCCTCTACGGTTTTGTTGTGTTGTACTGTCCTTTTCATTTAGTTCCAGGAATACTTCTTAATTTTTCCTTTGACCCATTCATTTCAGGAGTGTGTTGTTTAATCTCCATGTGTTCATGTACTTACTAGGGTTTCTTCCAGTGTTGATTTTCAGCTTTATTGCATTTTGGTCTGATAGAATGCATGGAATTATTTCAATGTTTTTGTATTTTTGAGGCTTGTTTTGTGCCCCAGTATACGGGCGATTTTGGAGGAAGTTCCATGGGGCACTGAGTAGGAAGTATATTATTTGGTGCTTGGGTGGAATATTCAGTAGTTGTCTGTTAGGTCCATTTGATGTATGGTATTGTTTAATTCGGATGTCTATTAATTCTCTGTCCTGTTGACCAAGCTAATGGAGACAATGGGGTACTGAAATCCCCTACTATTAATGAGTTGGGATCAATCTGGGTCTTAAAGTCTTGTAGTACTGTTTTAATGAAGTTGGGTGCACCAGAAGTTGGTGAATATATGTTCATGATTGTAATATTTTCTTGGTCAAATGATCAGAATGAAGTGGCCTCTTTATCTCTTTTGATTAGTTTTAGTTTGAAGTCTATTTTGTCAGATATTAGAATTGCAATGCCTGCTTTTTTCTTAGTACCAGTCATTTGGTATATTTTTTTTCCATCCTTTCAAACCTTAAGGTTGTGCCTGTCCTTGAAAGTGAGATGAATTTCTTGCAGACAACAAAAGGATGGGTTTTCTGTCTTACTCCATTCAACTTGTCTGTCTTTTGACTGGGGTGTTCAGTCCATTGATGTTTAAAGTAATTAATGAAAGATGTGTTTTGAATCTTGTCATTTTTATTTCTGTTCACATTCTTAATATAGCTATGTATTTCCACAGCTATACGTTCATTGAATTTCTTTCTGTAGCCTCTTGGGTATAGTCATTCCTTTCTTCAGCTCTTTGTATTGCTTCAAGAACTCTCTGAAGGGCTGGTTTTGGGGACATGAATTCTTTCAGCCTATTTATGTCACAAAGACTTTTCTTTCCCCTTCAACTATAATAGACATTTTGCCCAGGTAAAGTAATCTGAGTTGGCCTCTGTGGTCATTTAGAACTGGGAATGCTTTGGACCAAGGCTCTTCTGGCTCTCATAGTTTGCACTGAAGTCAGCTGCAATTCTGATGCATTTTCCTTTATATGTGACTTGTTTTTCTTTTGCAGCTTTCAGTATTCTCTCTTTGTTCTGTTCGTTTAGTGTTTTTACTACGATGTGCTATGGAAAGTTTCTTTTCTGGTCCTGTCTATTTGGTGTTCTATATACTTCTTGTATTTGTATGGGCATGTCTTTTTTTAATTTGGGGAAATTTTCTTCTACAATCCTGTGGAAGACCTGGTCCACACCATTATCATGAGATTCTTCTCCTTCCTGTATGATTCTCAAGTTTGGTCTTTCTATGGTGTCACACAATTCCTGCATATTCCATTCTTGTATTTTCTTAATATTTCATAATCTTTGCTTGAATGGTCTAATTCATCCACTTTATATTCCAGTTTTGATATTCTGTTTCCCATTTCATTCATCCTATTGGTGAGGCTTTCTCCTGTCATTTCTAATTGGCTTACTGAGTGTTCACTTCCTTCATTTCAGCTTGAGTATTCTTCAATATTTCTAACTCTTCTGAATTTGAAGTTTATCCCTATCTTCTTTCAGTTCTTTAATTTCATTGTGTGTTCTTCAAATTTACTGAATTCTTTTATCATGTTTATAACTGTTCTTTTGAGTTCCGTGTCCTGTGTTATCTCTAGGGGGTTCTCATTATACTCCTTTATAGGACTGTTGGTACTTGGTGGGGGTATATTGTTTAGATTTTTCATGTCATTATTTTTTCCCTGTGACTTTGACATATGGATTTCTTTTGTAGTTTCTGATTCTTGTGTAAGACTGAAGACTTCATTTGTTGAGTTTAGATCTGCTTCTTTTTGTGAATGTTATGTGCCTTTGTGTTTTACTTGTTGGGCATGAAAAGCTGGTTGGTCTAGGACTTAGGTTCTCTCTTTTGTTTATATTGGAGGGGCCAAATTGCTTTCGTCTTGCTGCTCAGGAGTTCTACAGAGGCCCAAGTCGGATGAAGATCAGATTCTCTCAGGCTTTCTCCTAAGGTCTGGAAAGATGCTGGCCTCAGGAATTTGGGGACTGGGCTGCCCTGGAACCAGGGTCCAGGAAACATGCTGGACCCAGGAAGCTGATGGCTGTGCTGCCCAGGGATGCAAAGGGAGGTAGGGATGAGAAGAGGCTCCAACAGCTCCTGGGGACTACAGGGAGGAAGTGGGTTGGTCCAGATGCAAAGGACCAGAAAGCAGTGGGAAGTCTGGTTCAAGAAGTCAGTCCAGAGGCCTGGGGTGCCACAACAAGAAATGGGCCAGTGCCCAGGCCAGGAAGAGAGATGGGGTTGGGGAGCTGGGAGGGTGAATGAGGCTGGGGGAGTCAAAGATGCAGTGAGTGCTGCCGAATTTACCCAGTAAAGATGCTGGCCCCAGGAAGCTAGTGGTTATTCTACCCAGGGATGCAAAAGTTTTTTGGGTCTTTTTGAGACAGGGTCTCCCTATAGCTCCAGATGTCCTGGAACTCACTATGTAGACCAGGCTAGCCTTGACCTCACAGAGATCCACCTGCCTCTGCCTCCAGAGTGCTAGGACTAAAGGCATGCACCAACATGCCCCACTAATCTTGAATTCTTGATCTGCCTGTCTCCACCTCCCAGGTGTCCACCACCATGCATGGCTTGGCCCTTTATACTACCTGAGCACTTCAGTTATTTGTAAGCAGTTTAGTTATTTAGGTGGCATATTTAATGTCCACCTTTCCAGTCCCACAAGCTGTTTCACCAGAATACTGCTGTCTCTACTACCAGCCAGTGGCTGCCTGGCACATTGAAGGCACCCAAGAAATGCTGGTGAGCTGCCAAGTATCTGCCTTGATGTCTCCGTTTTCAAAAATAGGACACTTGTATTTTTGTTAGGGAAGAGGAATCTAGAGATCTCAGAGGGAAAAGGGCCCACGAATCACAATGTCGGATGAATATACAGCATAGTCTCACTGCAACTGTGTCACATACCAGGGGCTTCAGTGGTCCATACTTCTCCAGGGCATTCTTGAATGGGGTTGGCGTGTGGGGAGTGTTGTCCATGGAGTACTTCTGATCTGGGGTTACAAACCTGCCAAGGGTCAGAGAAAGGGCTCAACAACAGGACAACAGATATCTACTTTCTCTGTCACTTGAGGCACAGTGGCTGTCCCCACTCCCCAACCTCCACCATCCTCCACTGTACAGGTGACTATATATAACTGGTCCAGGTGACTGCCTGCCTGCTCAGGTCCAGGTCACAGGCCCAAGGGAAGGGCCATCGTTAGAGAAAGGATAAGAGGGGACAAGAAACGCACACAGCAAAAAGAATGCTACTCCACCACAAAGCATAGATTCAAGACTTTACAGAAACAAGGAGGCCCAGGGTTAAGTTTCAGGCCCAGTGGAGGGGTGGAACAGTGATCCAGGAAGACCACAACCCTGTGTACCCTCTCTGCAGAAAGTATGTGATACTCAGGTATAAGATGGTGAAGCCGTAATCTCCACAAGTCCCCTCAAATCATCACAGTGGGGGCAGAAAGGTAGGAGGAGGAAGAGACTTCAGAAGAGCCAGATCCACTATACCCCTTCTACCAGATGTGGACCTTCACTCATGCTTCTGCCCGTGATGGAGAAGCCTGCTGGGAAGGGGGTGGGGAAAGGATACTTTATAACCCAGAGCACCAGGGCCAGGGTCATGGCAAATTTTAGCTCTCCTGGTAGGTGCTGAATTCTTCCCCCATAGTCACCTAACACGCTTCCCAGCTGACTCTCAATGTGTAACAGGGGCAATAGAACACGGGGAGTATAAGGCAAGTCTGGACACGGAGGGCTATGACCCACCCCTCTCCTTAAGCCCTGGTCATTCTGTAGGAAAAGAAGAGGATCTAAGTGCACACCATTCTTTTCTTTCATCTTCAGGGCACACAGATTAACAAGGATCCACACAACCTCATCCCAACCCTTACCTTCTCTCAAATGGACAGAGAGAGCCCCTTCTCTAAGGAACAGCAAGGACAGGTAAGTACAAGTCAATACTTCCCAGTTCAAAGGTAGAAATAGGAACCAGAACTGAATATGAGCTGGGAGGATATGAGGAAAATTCTAGAACCTCTTTAATGCAAAGCATCACAAGACTGAGCTAACAGGGACCATGTGAATGCTAGCAAATTCAGAAGGGGCTGAGGGTGTAGTTCAGTACTATGGCAAATGTCTAATATGCATGAAGACCTGGGTTCAACCAGAAGCACTAAAGAGGAAAAGCAGTCAACACCTCAGGAAAGTAGCTAGAAGACACAGGAGAAAAAGAAAAACGCAACTCTGGAAGCCAGAGAGAACTGGGCAGGTGGTAAACCAAAGAAAATCAATTGGCAAATTCTATGACTTTCTCAGGAGAGGCCAAAGCAAGGGTCTAAAATGATAAACAGGAGGGTGAAAATGAAAGGACAGTTAAAAGGTTAATGAAGAATACTACACCTGGTAAAGGACAGACTAAACACGCCTGATCCCCAGGATCCACACTGTGGGAGGGGAGAATAGATTCCTATAAGCTGACCTGACTTCCACACACATACATACATGAAATAATGGAAAAGAAAAAACAAAACACTGGGGGTGGTTGGTGCACAGCTTTAATCCATCCTAGCACTCAGCAAAGGCAGGCAGATTTCTGTCAGTTCAAAGACAGCCTGGTCTACATAGTGAGTTCCAGGCCAGCCAGGGCTACATAGTCTATACAATGAGACCCTACCTCAATCCCCACTCGCCCCTAAAATTTAAAAAAGCTGGGTGTGGTGCACATACCTTTAATCCTAGCACTCAGGAAACAGAGGCAGGCAGATCTCTGTAAGTTTGAAGACAGCCTGATGTACATATTGAGTTCTAGGCCAGCCAGTAAGACCCTGCCTCAACTCCCACTCCTAAATTTAAAAAAAAAAAAAACTAAAAAAAGGAAGAAAACAAACAAACAAACTCATGTACAGCTTGGCAAATTTAACAAAACAAAAATATCCTACACAGATGGAGACAGAAAAGTTCTATAAAGAAAGCAGCTTGACACAGGACTTCTTGGTGATATAAATGCTGCAAAAAGCAAAGCCATGGCCTCAATCTTGAGTGGCAGCTGTTATCCCTAAAGATTTCTTTATCCAGCTCCCATCACCAAGCAACCAATGATAAAGGCCACACCTCAGCAAGCATAGCCTCACCCAGACTTGCTCTGTGAAGCAGGAAAACTTCAAGGCTAACACTGCACTGACCTTGTTCCATGGGGGACACCAGCCCAGGCACAGCCCACACCTCTATCACCCAGCCCACTCTGCACTCAGGGGCCACACTGCTGCTCTTACACACAAAGTCATGCTTATGCTCTTGAACTCAGTAGTGCTCCAGTCCTCAGGCCCGTGCAACCTTCCTGCAGACCACAGTGTCTACTACCACTACGGATCGCATAATGATCTGCACCCGTTTACTGATGGTTCCTAACTTAACAACAGCTCCAATTCTGATTTCTGGAGTTTACCAAGGCAGCGTATGCAACCACACAGAGACTGTTTCTCAATCTCGGTGCTGTATACATGAAAGAGACAGTCACAGTATTTTACCATGAGGCAGGGTCCATGTTAGAATTATTCAACTGCAGAACAGCACACTGAACCCGTTTTAAGATAGACTAAGCTAAGCTATCTTGATAAGTTGTGTCCATGTAAATGCATTATCCATAGTACTTCCTTCCATTCTTTTTTTTCCTGCTGTATGCTAAGCATACACTTTACGTCTGAGCTATATCCCTTCCCCTGTTGGTTTATTGGCATGGAACTCTACTTCAAGTTGAGGAACATCTATATTTGCTAGTGAACTGTCCCTTCCAACAAGCCACAACCTCTACAAGAAGAAAAAAGGTTCCAGGTGTGGTAGCACACCCTTGTAATGCTAGCACTTGGGAGTTTGAAATAGGAAGACAGGGGAATTCAGGGTCATCCTCAGCTACCATGAGTTAGAGGCCAGCAGAAGATACATGAGACCCTGTCTCCAACAACATAGCACCTTCAAACCCAGGATACAAGAGCTATAATAAAACTAATGTAACAAAACAATACCAACTTGGAAAACAGGGGCATCAAAGGCATTTGTGATATCTGCATTTACAGACAAAGCTGTAGGCTTCCACTTCTGGTCACCAAGAACCAGATCTACCCTCTCTAGAAAAGAACAGATGAATGCTACTGTGTGATATCAGGCAACCAACGACAGTGATCCCTGAGACCACGGGGATATACTTCAGTTAGCTATGCTAAGGCTCCTAGCCATCCATACACAGGGAGGGGACAACCAGATAGAGCATGGCAGACATCAGAGCTACAGAGACACAGACTGACACTAAGCAACCAGAGGCTGTTTGTTTTTGTCTGTTTGGTTTTTTTAGACAGGATCTTACTTCGTAGCCCTGGTTGGCCTAGAACTCAGAGATTTGCCTGAGTGCTAGGATTAAAGGCGTGCACTACCACGCCCACAAGACCTATCATTAGAGTGATTTCAAAGCAGTAGATAAACAGTTTCTGAAATGACATCTTATCACAGGGGGTCAAATTCCTGAACTGGTTCCAGAATCTCATGATTTCCTTATCTGTGGACTGACTGCAGTGTTTCTCCTACAGAAAAACCAATACACAGGAAGCAGTGAAGTAACCTGCATCTACCTCAGATGTTAGTTTCACTCTGCTAACACAGAAATTGTGCAGCCCTTCCTAACACAGACCCTGTGTAGCCCACAGGCTGAGGACAGACAGGAGTTGTGTTCAAGCGCCCAAGGAGGTATTGGAAGGAGCCCAGGGGCATGTTCCTGCCCAAACTAGCCAATCTCTGCTTGATGTTTATAAAAGGAAGATTATGATTTTGTAGAAGTTTGAACTTTGTGATTACAGGACCATTAAGTTAAACAAAATGAAGGAGAAAGAAGGTAAAAGAGCAGGTTACAGTGAGAGAAATAAAGAGGTGAGAAGGCCAGAAGGGAGACCATTTTCCAAGACCAAGTCTACTGTTTCCCAGGGTTGGCAGACGGCCAGGCAGCACTCACGCAGCGTGCTTCGGATGTAGGGGTGTCTTATCCCGGTGCAGGGGCGTGGTGACCACCACCTTTTGGCTGCACACTGGAGTGGACGTCAGAGATGGGCTCTCTAGCTCCAAGGTGTCCTGTTTGTTCCAGAAGTTCAGAAACTGCCAGGGGAGAGACGGGACATGAGACAAGTTGACCTGCATAAGGATTCTTGAGGCCTTCAGAGGACAGAGAGAAGAGACGTGAGGAGTCTCTTGCCATGACGTGTCTGTTCTCTAAGGCTGAGGACCCATCCTGACCTGTAGCACACCAGCAAAGACCAAGACAGATGGACAGGAACCCATCAATAGGATGAGACCCTGGGCTCATCATCACACCTTGCAGTCCATTATCACCCAACTCCTACAAAGATATCTGACTGGGGGAGAATAGCTCTGTGTAGCAGAAACAAAATCAGGTAACTGCCCTGTCAGGGCTCAGGGGATGGTGATAACCTCAAAGACGTGCTGTTCCTGTCAGAACTAAGCACCTGACAGGAAATTTATTCCCCACAAATCATGGGAATCAGGTATTACTGGATCCCCTTTCACAGAATAACTCAGACCTCTAGATTCTTACACTGGGCTCCATAAGAAATCCAGATAGAGCCTATGTCAAGGTTCTCAAGCTCCCCCACAGCTCTGAGGTTCTGTCACAAGCCAAGAGGGTCACCTGCAACCTCAGGCCCAGTCACAAAGGAAAGATGTCTAGGGCACGGCAGTTATCAGGCCCAATCCTTCCAGAATATGTTGCACTCAGAGCTCCTTCTCTGGCTACCAGCACTCACCTGGAGTGTGTCTTGGGTTGAACTGTGTCCTTCTCAGATTCATGCTTAAGCCCTAACCTCTAGGACCTCAGAATGGGACTGTATTTAAAGACAAGAACTTTAGAAAGTTAAGTGACTTAAAATCAAGTCATTAGTATGGGCCTAACACAATGACTAGTGTCTTCGTAAGATTACAAAATCAGGGACTGTTGCAGAAAAACTAGGAGATTCAGGGGCCAAAGAGGATGGTATGAAGACAGTCTGCGTAGGAGAGGGCCATCCAAGGAAAGAGACCTGAGAAGTAGCCATGGCTCTTCAGACACCTTGATTTTGGGCTGCTAGTCTCAGAGTTGTGAGAAAATCTGTTCTCAGTACTGGGATTGTCTAAGTCACCCAATGTGTGGTATTCTCATGGAAGCCCTAACAAAATGCCCCATGGCCTCTCTAGAAGTACCACCAATCTGACCCACAGACTGAGCCTCCATCACTATATATGACTCCATCTCACAATATGGCACTGTTGTACCTCATCCCACAGGATCACAGGACAGGTCCAACAAAACCCAAAGCCTCTACTCACCTTGTCCCTGTCTGAAGAGATGGTAGTTTCAAGGACTGCCTATCCTCTGTTCCTGCAGTCCATCCCCTCCTATAGCCCCAAGGTATGTAGACCCTAGGTTACCAGGAAGGCCACCAAGGTCTGACCTCCATCATGTCCACCACAGCTTTACACCCTAACCTTATATATACCTTTCCCTCTGCTCAAGGCCATGGAGAAAGAGATACCCAGATCCACCAAGCTCTCCAGGGAATCTAAGCACCTCCCCTGGTCCCTACAACAAACCTAGTGCCCCTTCCTGACTTGTTCAAAACCCCACATGAATAACAAACAGAACCCCTGGAGGAAGACCCAGAACCAGTAATTTCTTGAGGACTCAAAAGTTTGCTGTCACCACAGCCCTTTCCATCCTCTAGCATGTTCAGTTATCAAGAGCCGGTCCCTAGCACTGACTGCTGCCCAAAGGCACAGCCATGTCATCTGTCAGTTACCACTCCTCCACCTTCCCACTGCTGGCAGAACTGCTGTGAACAGATGGTCATGGAATGGCTTCTTTCAGCAAATACGACTCAACCTTCTGCCTTTTCTTTACTACCCAGAGATCCCTGTTGCTTTCTCAGTGTAAGCATCCCTCCACCCTTTGAAGTCCTCCTGGATCCCTAGTGAGACAGTCAACCTTGACTATAACTGACAGCATTTACAAACATCATGGAAAAGTATCTGGGCATGTCTGTAACGGTTTCCTAGATTGTGTTAACTGAGGTATGATGACTCCCCCTAAATGTGGGCATGGACTGGGGTCCTGGACCGAACAGGGAGGGAGCTGAGCAAGAATAATATCCCTGTCTGCCAACTGTGGCTGCAGCCCACACTCCACCAGGATGAATGAACTGTACCCTGGAACTGTGAACCAAAATAAACCCTTCTTTCCTTAATCTATTTTTGTCAGGTCTGTTGTCACAGCAACAGAACAAGTGACCCCATTCCCAGCACCACAGTCTCCTCTTCATGCAATGATCTGGATCTCCAATAACCCAGAGTGTTCCATGCAGCAGGGCCAGGCACAGCGCAGACACTCAGTGAATGCTGACTGACTGGTACGTGCTTATGCCAGACCCTCACTGACACTAGGTGTCTCTATATGGAGGCTGATAGGTAGAGAGGCCCACACACCTGAGAAGGAGAGAAGGGCAAGGTCTTGACAGGCGTGCTCTTCGGGGTGAGGCTGTTACAGGAGTCCAGGAAGGACAGGCTGGCACTATTCTCTGTGACAGGAGACAGGGCCACGCGTCGCTTCTTCTGCCGCTTGAGCACCGAGGGTGGAGTGCCAATGCCTGAGCCCCCAACCTCAGTGCTGGGGGAGATGGGGATCAGCTCGCCCCGGCTGCTCCGGCTTAGGTCCGAGATGGTGTGGCCATCTAGCCGATACTCAGTCATGCTGGGTCCCAGTGTGGCAGCATGGCGGGATGGCAGTGCCTGTTGCTGTTGCTGATACTGCAGTGTTTGGGGCTGCACTGGGCTGCTATTGATGCTGCCTTCTGCAGACTGTTCCTCAGGAAGGTCGAACTTACTCAGGTCACACCAAGCATCGGGGTCCTACCAGAGTGGGAGGTTAGAAAGCACTCTTCTGAGTGTCAGATTCAGTTCCCCAGCTGCAGGACCAATCATTAGATTTCTTCGGAGCTTTTTATGTATATTTATAGATCAAAATACAGAAGACTGAATAAGATGCCTGTCCATCACAGCACTTTATAAGCTGTTTCCAATCCCACGGCAACCTTGCTGGGGAACCATGACTCTCCTACTTTTTTTTTTCTATAATTACATCTATTTTATGGAGAGAGGGAGAGAGGAAGAGAGGGAGAGAGGGAGAGAGAGAGAGAGAGAGAGAAAGAGAGAGAGAGAGAGAGAGAGAGAGAGAGAGAGGAGAGCACTATAGCACGCACATGGATTTCAGAGGACAACTTGCGGAGTCAGCTCCCTCCTTCCACCATGCGGATCCTGGGGATTGAAATCAGGTGGTCAGGCCTTAGTAGCAAGTACCGATACCTGCTGAGCCATCTCACCAATCCCCTTTCCTGCTTTCATAACAAGAACTCACACTAAGCTCCTAAGAACAAACCTCACTGCAGGTCCTCCCACCTTTACCTAAAGGCTTCTGGAAAGAAAGGGTTCCACTTTATCTGGGAATTGTGGCCCTGAGGAGATCTAGACCCCAGTGGTACATTCTGGTCCTTGAGACTTGCTGGAGCCTGGGGCAGTTCATTCCTAAAAGTGGAGACCAGCTTGCAGTAGAGCTAACCTCAGACCCATAAACTGACCTCTGAAAGGACCAGGAACTGATGGCATCTTGGAGCCTAGAAACACATCCTACAGGACTACCCAGGGAGGATGCTGCAGGAGAGGGAGAAGGTTGTATGGTACCCTTTCTTTGATCTGTGCCACTCCTACCAGTGGTAGAAAGCACCTATGGAAGAGCCTGAGGTCTGAACCAGATGTCAGGACTTCACTTCTTGCTGATACAGCTTGAAGCAGACACAGACCACAAGAGGCAACCCTACCTAAGTCCTTATGTCTAGCTATTCCTCTGAACTCCACCTAGGAAGAGGGAAAGGCTCAGGAAGCCAACAGAATTTAAGAGACCCAGGAAGGTCTAAAAGTTACAAGATTCACAAGGCTCCTTGTTATAAAAGCAGTAAACAATTGCTGGGGAAGAAAAGATTCTCCCCCTGTAGGATGCCTGCAATTAGACAGTGAACCCCAGGGACACTTTTGTGAGTCCCTCACCCATGCTGGAGTGGGCATTCTGGTGATGCAGCAGCCTTTGAGTTGCCCACACTCCTGTGCCTCCAATAAACTCATAAGTTCATCAAGCTAGACTTGTGTGGAGGCATTTCTCTAATGTCATTGATACCATATCTAGGAAGAACAGATGCTTATTTATGTCTCCCCAGGAAAAGCCACACAACAGAGCACAGCCTCTAACACCTAATGTAGTAATCACAGCACGGCCTTGAGCTGAGGAAACAAATCTACTTGCTACTCCAGAGCCAGCCTCAGCGCCTGTGACTTCCTGGGCCCCTCTCCAAGGAAATGTAACCATTGTGAAGCCACATTCTTCCCTGTTATCTGTCAGTCAGTCACACTTTTGGACAGTACAGTGCCCTCTCTAGAAAGCCTTCCCACCCCACTCCGATGCTGCAGGGCAAGGACAACACAGGGACTCACTGATATCCCCAGCCTGCTCTGAGCTGTGCAATTCACATTGGTCAATAAATGGTAGCAGGGTGAGACAAAAGAAAAATGCCAAGAAACGCTTCTTGCTCTGTGCCTACCATGAAGAGCCAGGACCAACATACCGACTCAATCAAGTCCAGGGCTTCAGAGAGGCTGGATCCTACAGCAGGGATGAGGAGGTTTGCTGCCTCTACCACCCACTTGTAGGGCAGGCTCATTTCTGGTGAGGAGTCTTCCTGGTCTTCACGCTTGAATTCCTCCAGGGACCCTAGGCTGTGCACTTGGCCCAGCTCTACAGGGACAGGATCATGCTCGTTAGAAGAAATAGCAGCTGCTGCAACCTCTTCCTCACTGCTCTCCTCTTCCTTCACCACAGAGGACGCCAGGGGCCAGCTGGTCACAAGACTTCCCTGTCAGACACAAGGGCACACTGTATTTTTGTTGAAATATTGACAGTACTATAGTTTTTTGCTGAAGTCATAAACCTGAGTCAAATAAGGTAACTCAGGTAAATACAAATTGAAAGACATTCCAGCTATACCATATACTCATGACACAGGCTAACGAGACCCAAAACTAAATGCAACATGTGATATGAGAATGACCATGGGAAAAAGTGGAACATGGACTACAGTCCAGAATCAAGGCTGGACATGGTAGCACCCATCTATCATCCAAGCACTCAGGAGGATTGTCCAGTTTGAGGCCAGCTTGGGCTGTTACATAGTGAATTCCAGAGCAGCCTGAGCTACAGAATGAGATCCTGTCTCAAAACACCAAAAAGTCGGGGGGCTGGAGAGACGGCTCAGTGTTTAAGAGCATTGGCTGTTCTTGTAGAGGACCCAGGTTCAGTTCCCAGCACCCACATGACTGCTAACAAACATCTGTAACTCCAGTTCCAGGAGATCTGACATCCTCTTCTGACCTCCATAGGCCTTGCATGCACATGGTCTTAACAAACATGCAGGCAAAACACTTCATGCACATAAAATTTAAAAAAAAAAAGTGGGCAGGTAAGGCTGCTCTCAGTGGGTAAAGGTGCTTGCAGCTGAACCTGACAACCAGAGTTACACACACTTTACTTAAAAATCAAGCAAACAGCCAGGCGTGGTGGAGCACGCCTTTAATCCGAACACTCAGGAGGCAGAAGCAGGCAGATCTCTGAGTTCAAGGCCAGCCTGGTCTACATAATGAGTTCCAGGACAGCTGGGGCTACAAGGGAGACCCTGTCTCAAAAAAAAAAAAAAGCAAGCAAACAAAAACAAATCACTACCATCTCTGACAACAAAAATGGTTCCGAATCAATGTGAAAGTCCCTGGATGGTATGAAGATGTACTAAGGACCAAAGACTAAATCCTTATTCTTAGGAAATACAGCTGCATTCATGGGTAAAGATGTCTGCCCGCCTCTGCCTCCGGAGTGCTGGGAATTAAGGCCTGTACCACCATGCCCAGCTAAGATGTAATAACTCTTAAATGGCTCAGACACAAAAGCAATACATACAGAAAGATAATGTGAGTCTGGCAAAATGTAAAAAAATTAGCTAAACCTTGCAGTTGTGGATTTGTGGTAGACTACTTACCTGGTAAGCACAAGGCCCTGGGGATGTCAAAGCCTGTAACCGTACATGGGAGTTCCTTTTATTGTTCCTGCAACTCTTCTAGATGTTTATTTTGGGAAGTCTGAAAATCTATGGGTACAATATCCTAACAAAGGAAAATCCTCTGCAGCAAAACTCTAAGGGTAGAAGTCAGGGAACAAGTATAGTTCATAACTCGCACAGGGACCAGTGCAGCCTTGAACATGTCACATTAACAAAAGCCACCCAGAAAGTAAGAAGCAAGTCACCATGGTAATGGTCATGGCAGCAAGATGGGGGCGGGGACGGTGGGGCTTGATCCAGACAGAACTAAGCCACTGACTGCCTCTGAGCAAGTGCTGTGACCTCTCAGATCCAGTTTATTTACTTGTAAAATAAAGACACTAAGGTTTTCCATGAAAAGATGTCAACACAGGTAAAGGCACTTGCTGCCAAGCCTGATGACCTGAGTTTGATTTCCAGGACCCACATGGTGGAAAGAGCCAATTCCTATAAATTGTTCTCCGACCTCTCTCTACCTGTGCACTGTGGTATGTGTGTCCCTCCCACCCCAACACACATATACACAAAATAAAAACAAACAAAATGACTCGAGAGGAATGGGTGAGATGGAGACCGAGGTTGTACTGCCTCCTGTGCTCAGCCCGGTGTAGGGCTCAGAACCACCCAGGAAGGGCAGCACTCCATGTAGAACTATGGCGTGGGAAGAAAGACATGTTAACAAACTACTTTCAGCAAAGTGGAATTTTAAATGCTAACGCAGCTCTCACTATTCAGCCTTGTGCTCAAAGGGCTACAGGGAGACTCTGCCTCAAACCCCCGCCCCCCAAAAAAGAGGGCGTAGAATAAACAAACAAGTTATTACATAGCTCAGGATGACAGAATGCACAAGGGAATGCAGGACAATGGTTCACTGTCAAATCTTCATACTGCAATCTTTGCTTCTAGCCTTGATCTTTAAAAGACAAATCAGCTTCTCAGCCTTATCCCTAAGATCAGGTATAAATAATAAATCATTTGAGATATGGTTAAAAATAGAAAGTTTAGGTTGGAGAGACAGCTCAGCAGGTGAAAGTGCTGGCTGACAATCTTGTTAACTGGGTTTGATCCCTGGGACCCACATAGTGGAGAGAACTCCTGTAAATTATCCTCTGACCTCTATACACACACACACACACACACACACACAGAGAGAGAGAGAGAGAGAGAGAGGTACAGAGAGACAGAGAGAGAAGAGGGGCTCAGTAACACTGGCCACACAAGCCTGTCAACCTGAGTTCAAGCTCCAGAATCCAAGGACAGAATGACTCCTTAAGTTTGTCCTGACCTTCAGCTGTGACACTTGCTCCCCTCACACACACTATATATACACATAGTAATAAATTTCTAAAATTTTTTTAAGTTTTTTTTTTTAAAAAAACAAGTTCTCACTATGTAGCCCTCCTTGGTCTGGAACTTGCTATATAAAACCAACTAGGCTTGAACTCAGAAATTTGCTTGCCTCTGCCTCTGTGCGAGGATTAAAAGCATGCACTACAATGTCTAGCAGAAACTTTTTTTAAGTTAAAAAATATATAGTTCATTTTGGGAGGTAGGCGAATTTAGCACGTGCACGTATCAGCTTCTCGGTCTATAATTATAAATGCAATACTATATGATTTCATTTAAGTGACTTTTTAGAAGACAACATTATAGAAAACACATCAAGGAGATAAATCACAAGAGGTTAAAGGCTTAGAAAAAAAGTGCTGGGCATAGGGGTGCACACCTTTAATCCCAGCACTAAGGAGACAGAGGCAGGCAGATACCTGATTTCCAAACCAGCCTTGTCTATACAGTGAGTTCCAGGCCAGCTGGAGCTACAGGGGGAACCAGTCCAAAACAAAACAAAACCCCCCCCCCCACCCCCCCCCAAACCAAACAGCACAAGCTAAGTATGGTGTCACATGCCTTTAATCCCAGCACTAGAAAGACAAAGACAGGTGGATAGCTGTGAGATTGAGAGCAGCCTGGTCTACACAGAGTTCTAGGCCAGCTGGGGCTATAAGGAGACTGTCTCCAAAAAAAGAAAGAGGGAAAAAAAAAAAAAAAAAAAAAACCCCACAAAGAAATTCTGGGTAGAGAGTGATATATATAATCTCTTTTTTTTGGTTGTTTGAGACAGCCATCACCCTGTATCCCTGTAACCCCAGCTGGCATCTACAAAAGGAGTTCCAGGATAGCTGGGGCTACTAGGGAGACTCTGCTTTTTTAAAAAAAAAAAAAAAGCAAACATGGGCTGCTGAGATGGCTCAAGAGATAGAGGTACTTGCTCTCAAGCCTGGCAACCTGGGTTCAACCCCAGAACACACACAGTGGAGAATCAACTCCTGTAAGCTGTACAATCTTCACATCGGTGCTAAGGCACCTGGTACATGTGTGTGCACGATGCAAACGTGTGTATGCACAAATAAAAAAACCTATAAAAAGAAAAGATGGGAAAAAAGGCAAACATGCTTTGTGTGCACACAGGAAAGAATAACAGGGGAGAAAGCCGAGAAGTCCTCCCTACCCAAGTTTCGGCGTTACTTATCAGGCTGCTCTGCTGTCCTGCTGGCAGACGAGTACTAGCTATGTGCTCAAGTTCGTACAGGCAAAGTCCCTGGAAACACCAAGGCCACAATTAGACCCTGGGGCAGAAACTAGTGAGCAGCTCTGCACAAGGTGTTCAGTGAAACCGTGTCAGATAATCAGAAAATGATGCAAGACAACCACCTGGGAGAGGAGCCCAGAGAGAGTCATTAGGAAGCCCTCACCTGGCCTTCCACGGACTGCACACCCTGGTGGCCTTCCTTGTCCTCAAGCTCTAGCAGCAAGTAAACAGGCTTGCAGTCTCTGGACTCATTCAGGAAGCCTCCTGTGTCCACCTTCCTTTTGATGGTGGAGTTCCAGTGATTCTTCACAGCATTGTCCGTCCTGTAAGAGAAAACCAGGAACCTTTGACTGGCAACTTTTGGCTATTGCATGGAGGAAACCCCCTCCTCCAAGCTGACATCTCACATTTGTATATGAAGTTTCGGCCAGATGAAAGTGAAGACTCATTGTTTCTAGCCCTCAGTGGCTTAGAGAATTTCCACACAACTCCATGAAATTAGCAAATGTTAGGATTCAAGCTATGGCAGAAATTACAAAACTGCAAATACGTTTGGAGCCCTACTTCCCTTCTCTGCTCATGTTGCATCCACAGAAAATAGAAGCCAACTGTTAGCTGCTGACTCTAGACTGGAGTTTCACAATGTTCCTGAATGCCAGCTCTGCTCACCTCCAAGACACAGAGGCTATTCACCCCTCGCAGCCTCTTTCCATGGAAAATCAGAAGACCACTTCATACTCAGGTCATCCATCACCTACTAAAGACCAGGAGAGGGGCTGGAGTGATGGATCAGCAGTTAAGGGCACCGATTGCTCTTACAGAGGACCCGGGTTCAATTCCCATCATCCACATGGCGGCTAACAACTGTCTGAAACTCCAGTTCCAGGGGATCTGACACCCTCTCCTGACCTCTGCAGGCATTGCACGACACAGGTGCACTTACACATACGCAGGCAATAAACTCATACTCAAAAAAATAAAAATAATAAATATTTTAAAAATAAAAATAAAGCCAGGTATGGTGGCGCACGCCTTTAATCCCTGCACTCAGGAGGCAGAGGCAGGCTCTGTAAACATCTGTGCACACGTGCACGTACTCTGTGTGTGTGTGTGTGTGTAGGCCAGAAGTCAACTTCAGTATTTTCTTTAAGTGCCTTTAATCCCAGCAGAATCAGGTAGATCTCTGTGAGTTCAAGGCCAGCCTGGTCTACAATAGTGAGTTCCAGGCCAGCTGGGGCTACAGGGAAACCCTGTCTCAAAAAGACCAAATAAATAAATAAAATGAAATGAAATGAAAAAAGATTAGGCGATACAGACTCAATAGTGGTACATGCAGTAGGACACAGCAGGAGTAGTGGAAAGGCAGAGGAAGAAGGAAGGAGCAAGCAGGTACACAGGACCACAGATGCACATGGCCATATAGCACTGGAGTGCAGAGCACCGTAAGGGCAGTTAGCAGGAAACATGGAAGCCTAGTACTACATGGTATAAAAGTGTCAATACAAGTGTAGTGTGGCATGGTGGCACACACCTATAACCCCAGCACTCAAGAGCCGAGGCAGGAGGGCAATGTATTCAAGGCCAGTCTAGAGCCCGGGCTAGAGTTAAGACCCTGTCTCAAAATAAACAAAAGATAAAAAGAAATGCCAACAGAGTGGACATTTCTCTTGAGATGTGGCCAGAACTCACTGGAATAGCTTCACTGCACATCTACTCTAAGGAGGGTGGGAGGAAGTCCTGTACGTGACCACTTGCACCCCAGGCCCTCTGGATGACAAAGACAGGCAGGGGTATGGGGTAGGGGGTGAATGCTACTGGTGTCTCACCCAGATTCTCCACATGTACAGGAGACCCTGAGCTGTGGAGTGCACCTTCTTTGACCTACGACTCTCTGGATAACAGCTCTGGGATGACATACCAAAGATGCATGCATACACACATATCTTGACCTTGTGTTAGGATACAGCAAGACTCTACCAGAGACCCCATCCTTTCTTAGCTCTTTATCTAGTCCCCAGTTCTCTCACAGAGATAAACACACCTAAGTCTCTGCATCTCAGGTTGCTAACCCTAGGAAGGTCTGAGCCAAAACATCTCAGCCCTCCTACCACTAAGGTCAGTCCTGGGTGCTCTAAGCTCTGAGACTCATGCTTTTGCTCACATGTAGTTACAAAGCACCTACTGCAGACCAGGCATTATTCAGGGTACTTGGATATACGGGCAACTAAGACAGGTGGCAGCCATTTAAACTCTTATAGTGGAGAGACAGGCACTACATCTACCTGGCAAGGGGGCTACACACTTCTCCAAAGACAGGTATAGGCACTGTGTAGAGGTCATCAGACTAGCCCAGAAAGTTTCTTGGAAGAAACAGCATTGACAGTGAGAACCAGTCATGTTGGGGACCCCTGTTGTGTAAAGTAGCAGTCTCTCCATGTCCGGATAGCCTATGGGCTCGGCTTCATATGCAGAGACTCCTTTTATCAGCAGGGTGCCTTCCCGGCATCTTCCTGACTCATCTTTTGAAGTAGCCATGGCCTCCGGCTCTGGAACTGCCAGCTTTTCCTGTGTGATTTTCAGGCAGTCTGA